GAGGGAGAAGAGGACAACAAACGAGGGGCTGTGACAAACTGTTATATATCGTCAATATATATATATATATATATATATATGGACAAACCTCAGCTGTGTCTGCCCATGTGACTGCAGTGTGCTAGATTTATTTCTAGCAGTGTCTGCTGAGCCTGAAGTTATCGGAGCTGCTGAATGAAACTTCGGTTACAGCAAGATGATGGGTACGTGGTCTAAATGGTCGGATCCCGTTTCACCATCACGAGATGAAAAGTTCTCAATTTAGCACATTCAGTCGATACCCTGTCGGTGCTTGCAGACTGCTGCCACTTCTCCGGCAAAAAGACAGTACGTTGACTTGCAAAAACATGTTCTGCTGCTACTGCACCAATTCGAGTTCTACCAGTCACCAGAGTCGCAAGATTCTGGGAGCCCGAGTTCACGTATCAAAATCGCCGAATCCAAAATGACCGCACTTGGAAGAGCCTATTTCGCCGTTTTCCTGCTTCTTTTCAGGTGCAGCATACTGGCCCATACAATCAGATATCAACAGCAGCCAATGCAAGCTGCTCTCCACCGCAAACACAGAACCTCTCCAACAACATGGCCAGCCACGACAGGGTTTCGAGCCCAGGCGATTTGAGGAGTTGTTTGATAAGGAATCAACCATCCAGCTTCTGGGTTTTGGTTAAGGTTCTAATTTCTGCTCTTAGATGTTTGGTTTGGGGGTTGGGGCTTAGGGATAAGGGTATATAGGGGTATTGGTTAAGGGTCCAACTTCTGCTCTTAGGGTTTTGGTTTGCGGGGGGTTGGGGATAAGGGTATCAGGGGTACTGGTTAAGGGTCCAACTTCTGCTCTTAGGGTTTGGGGTTTGGGGTTTGGGGGGTTTGGGGTTGGGGGGTTTGGGGTTGGGGGTTTGGGGTTGGGGGTTTGGGGTTCAGGTTCACGGGGTTGGGGTATTGCGTTCAGTTCCGAGGTTAGTTGCCAGCAAAGGGAGACCAGGTGCAGGAAGTGTGAGAAGGATTCGGCGGTCCTTGTTCTGGTTTCAGGTTTTCGTTCACGGTTTGCAGCTCCGGATTTACTTGCTGATGAATGCGCACATGGATGTACAGGATACAAGGTTTCGGAGATCGCGGTCTGGTTTCATGGTTTAGAGTGTTTGGCCAGAGGTTGTGGGGTGTAGGGTTTGTTATATACCGTTTACGGTTTAGGGTTTTGCGATTTGGATTTAGTCGGCAGCAAAGGCAGACCTGCAGGCCAGCCACAGCGTTGTGGGAGGGGATCTCTGGACCTGGGACCATGAGGAAGGACGCCTCTGCACCAACCCTTAGTCGTCACTCTTCCAAGTTCCCAGGATCCTGCATGTGAAGGGACTGGCATTTTGTGGAAGAGTTTGAATTCTTCCGGTCCTTGCCGCGGTTCTGTGAAAATTTCAGAGCGTACCACAACCCTATTGCCGGGTTTAAGGCCACTTTAAGGGTCGAGATGCTGGGGCAAGGTGCTCGAGGGGAAGGAAGAGATAGAGAGACCCAGTTGAGCAGCAGCAGCATCTAGACTGTAGCTCGCTTGTTCACGTTTGTACTCTCCTCGCCAATTTCACCGCACGCGCATCTCAGTTTTTCTCCATGCCAGCCAGACGCCTGCAAGTGCGCTTGCCCTTGACCCCCTGACCTCCTTTGCAGCACTCACTCAATGGGGTTGCTCTGCCCACAACCAGACAGCTTGCCCTGACGACATCCATCCTCTATCTTTTCAGCACAAGCTCAGCAGGATGCTGATCGCGGCCGCTGAATGCCTTTTTACCAGATGACCCGCTGACCCCGTGGACAAAGGTAGCTTTGATACGCGAGTGCTGCCGTTGGCAGCAGGCGATGTGGAGGCCATTCCCGGCGAGAAAATGGACGATGCTTGGATCGATGCTCTACACTTTCGTTGGGTTTCATCGTAGGCACCACCCGGTTTCCCGTAGCTGATCAAGGCCGCGGCCTTTGCGTCGTCTTAAGATGCAGTAAGAAGACGAATACGGCGTCCTTTGCTCCTCGCCTCCTACTCCTCTGCCTTGGCTCGTTTCTTCTGAGACCTCAGCTTCTCCCGCAAAACCCGATTCAGCTGATAGTGTCTTGGTGCTTCAGATCGGACTGATGCTGTAAAAGGGCAAGCGCAGGGGCCATCTCCCGTGCTTTGTTCTTGTGCACAGTCTTGGCTCCAGTGGTGGCTTGCACATGTGGACAGACAAATGTTGCTCGCTTAGTCACTCCTTCCCTCACTTCGTCTCAGCTGACACAAGCGGGCAACACATGCAAGACAAGACAAGGACAGGTAAGGCTGTGCTTCAGGAGACAGGGACACATTTTGTCCTCTGCACGTTCACGTTGGGCTGTGCGCACGGAACAGGTCTGATTTGGTAGCCGTAAGAAAGGCCAAAAATGTTGTCTCTGGCTGCTGCCCGAGCCGGTAATTTCTATTATCCGCCGGAATGGACGCCGAACAAGGGGTCCCTGAACAAATTTCGGGGGAAACACGCCCTCGGAGACAGGGCGAAGAAGATTGCGCAAGGGATCATTGTCATCCGGTTTCGAGATGCCGTTCAATGTTTGGTGCAGCGGCTGTTCTGGCATGATTGCCAAAGAAGGTGTGCGCTTTAATGCCAAGAAGGAGGAGGTTGGGAAATACCTGTCGAGTCGGATATGGAGCTTCAAGATGAAATCTGCATGTTGCAAAACTGAGATTGAGATTCAGACTGATCCAAAGAACGCGGAGTACGTCGTGATCAGTGGAGCAGTGCGGAAGGTGGAGTCGTATGATGCGACAGACGCAGGAACGGTGGAGATGCCAGATGCAGAGGACCACGCCCAGCTCCGGAGCGACCCTTTTTCTAAGCACAGCCTTACCTGTCCTTGTCTTGTCTTGCATGTGTTGCCCGCTTGTGTCAGCTGAGACGAAGTGAGGGAAGGAGTGACTAAGCGAGCAACATTTGTCTGTCCACATGTGCAAGCCACCACTGGAGCCAAGACTGTGCACAAGAGAGCGACAAACTACAAAAGAGAAACCCAGAGGAGAGAAACACACACACACACACACACATTATACACATCTAGATGTGTATAAGAGACAGGAGAGAGAGAGAGAGAGAGAGAGAGAGAGAGAGAGAGAGAGAGAGAGAGAGGTGATGTTCCGTCCTGGAGATTGCAAGATAAGGCCACCTTGGCAGGGTGTTTCAGCAACGTGGGTTGCTAAAGATCGAGAGAGAAGTTCAGATCAGTGAATCAATTACCAGCTGTAACGACTAAGAAGAAGAGTTTGGGGTCGACGTTCGCCTGCGAATCACAGGGTATAATTTATTGATTGGGAGGTAAGAATACGAGCCGCAATGAGCACCACCAAGACAGCAAAGCCTGAGGCTACTACCCAAGAACGTGGTCCGGAGAAGAAAGCAGCCGGTCACAGCTAGAGAAAGAGGGAGCCAGGGAGACAGACTGAGATAACAGAAGGGATTTAGTTGGGAAGGGGACTGATCAGATCTAGCACAGCAGATACTAGACTCCTTCCCGCCACCTCCCTCCTTTCTCCTTCCCACTCTGTTCCAAGTCACACTTCTGTATTTCGCACAATGTAATTCAACCGACGACGCAAAAGCGGAGCAGGGGCAAACCCAAAGGCCAGCAAGTGGGAAGGGGGAGGGGAGCATGGACATGGAAGACAGAGAACGGAGGTGGAAATGGGAGAAACCGTCACTACAGTTACGCAAGGTCGCCTCCCCTTGTCGCGACGACAATATGTACTACAGCTGCTGCTGCTGCAGCTGCAGCTGCTACTAGCAATGCTTGGAAAGCCTCTTGCACTCCTCATTGCCCTCTTATGATGACATGCTCCATGCAGAATTTAATTTGTAATCCAGAAAAGAGAGGGGAGTAGCATTATATCTGTTAGAACTTAGTAGCTGACCATCCATTTACTCATCCAAATGAAGGCCTTAAAATAAAAAAAAGAAAAAAAAGAAAAAAAAGAAAAAAAAATCCACGCTCATTCAGCAGTTTGCCCTTGAAGGTAGGGAAGGGATGCTTACCATGCGCTTTTCAGAAAAGACTAATGAGGTTCCCCGCTTCCCTTGGGAACGGCAAACAAGGAATTCAAGATTAGCATCGATGGAGAGAAAGGGAAAAAAAAAGAAAAAAGAGATTGGCTTTCAACTTCAAGTTTCAAGAAGAACTCGAGGTTTAACTTTGTATTTCCCATTTTCATTCAAATGTTATTTTTCCAAACAAGGAAGAGATTGAAAGGACTCTGCAATATTTCTTCGGAATACGTGGGAAAGTGCTCTCAGCAGAAACATAGGAGTAAACGATGGCGATTCTTCTTTTTTTTTTTTTTTTCCCTCACTTTTCAAAAATTTGGACCATTTCTTGATTTATGCGTGTCATCCTTGCGCAGGGGCCATGCTGATCTTTTATTCTCCGTATCGTTCTAGGCCAGAGTGGCCCGGGACCACTTGCCCGGCCGGACCAATATATAATACTTAATAATAATAATAATAATAATAATAATAATAATAATAATAATAATAATAATAATAATTTTAAATTTGGTAAAGAATTTCGATGTGACCCTGAGGCAAAAGTTGTTTCGTTTATTTTTCTGCATAACATAGTTTTTTTTTTTGCGGATTTTTTTGAGTTTTTTTTTTTTTGCTAGGACCTTCGCGGGTCCTTGCACGGGCGGGCCACCCGGGAAAATAAAGGGTGACCCGGGCGGCCCGGCCGGTAGCCTAGGTATCGTTCCAGTTTTAATGGATGCCCTGAAGAATGGAGATTCGTTCTTTTTTTTTTTTTTTTTCCCTTAAAGGATGGCGATTCTTTATCGGAAAAGAAAAAGAGTGTGTGTGTGTGTTTGTGTGTGTGTGTGGGGGGGAAGGACGGGAGTGCATTACTGTAGAAAGGGTAGACAACATGACCATTGGCATCAGAAGGGATAAGATGGGGGAGAAGCGGGTCACCGTCTCCTTGGGCACGACCGAGCAAAGTTCAAAATTACAAATTCATTCTTCCCTCTTCAGAAAAGAAACAAAATAAAACAAAAAGATTCACAATTTCACACACAAAAAAAAAAAGTTGCAAAACGAAAAACTGTCGTTCTCAAACTCCCCCCACTCAAGATGAAATTTCCGAAAAACAAGAAAACAATGACCACAGTCGTACAACTCTGCCTAACCATATATATTGTCACACTGTGAATCAGGGCGCGAAGGCGAAAAACTGCAAAACACGGAAAGGAAAAGAAGCAAGGAAGGAAAGCCCCACCTGTTCATCACCTCTTACGCACAAGGCCAGCCACGTGGATGATATATATCAATTGAATGAGAGCCATTTCTAGGAATTGCTGAGATTGCCCAGAGACACTCTACACACACACACACACACACACACACACACACACACATTATAGACTGGAGCAAGGTGGGACGAGAATCAAACCCAGCTTCCATCATGTTAAGATGTAAGCATCAAGAACTTCCGAGAAGTTCAGACGACGCTATATAGCGCTCACATTCGAAAATTATTACAACAGTTCCCATGGGGGATTAGAAACTAGAAAAGAAAATGAAGACAACGAAGTCAAACAGCGCAAAAAAAAAAAAAAAAAAACGCGTTCAGTGATGGACATCAACCCGGCTTTTGTGAAGCTGGAACGCGGGAGTCACCCACGTTCCACAATTACACTGTATTCCCGCCCAATCAAACCGGCCGAGTCTGGCAGAGCACTTGCTGCAGGTCAACTTGCCCGTTCTCTCTCCATCCATCACTCCCTTCATCCAATCCTGCACCTCGACGAACACCGACGCGCATCCCGACTGCATCCAGGTTGCCACCGAAGGCGGCGACAAAGTGGTAGTGGCAAGAGACGACAACCCACCACCACCATCTCCACCACCTCCTCCTGATGACGATGGTGGGAAGCGGGACTCGGTCTCCGCAGGCTGAGATGGCGGCACTGCCGCTGCCGCCTTCCTCTGCCACTCAGCGGCAAACGCCAGTGCTCCACCTCCTGGCTCGTGCATCTGGACATGTTCTCGTGCCGCCACGACAGTACGGCATTTCCTGCATCGGACTTCAGACACCTCTCTCCCTCCTCTCCCCGTGGCCGAGCCTTGGCTTGCGATGCTGCTCAGTGGACAGACCCCTGAAGACTGCAAACTCCTCTGCTGCAGACTGATCGGCAAACGGTCCCCGCTCGGTGTTAATTTCGTATCATCTGGTCCGCCGCCGGAGAGCTCTTCATCTCTGCGCTCCGCTCCAGCCCCCTCCCCACCACTGACATCTCCTTGGACATGCTCCCAAACGCTTCTCTGCATTTCTCCTCCGTCTCCTCCTAATCCTCCCTCTCCTCTTACGCTTCCCTCTCCTCCTACTCCTCCCTCTCCTCCTACTCCACCGGCTTCTTCAACATGTGCTGATCCCTTCACCGAACCCCTCCTTCGATCCTTGGCCCGTTGAGAAGAATGCGACAACCGGAGATGGTCGGTATCGAGGGCTAAATCTTCCTGCAACATATCCTCCAGAATATCCATTTTCCCAAAGGAGTCGGTCATGGTCGGATCCATTGGATAGCACACAGTAAAGAGTACAGAAGGGCAGGCTGGGGAGATTGTGGGTGTGCAGGCGTGCTCCACCCTGGCACTCTTTGGTGGGTACACAACCACAGAGCGTTCAGGTTAGGGTTAGGGTTAGGTTACGTTAGGTCAGGTTAGGTTAGGTCAGGTTAGGTTAGGTTAGGTCAGCTTAGGTTAGGGTTAGGGTAGGGTAATGCAGGTTAGGTTAGATTAGGGTTAGGGTTAGGTTAGATTAGTTTAGGTTAGGATAGGGTTAGGGTTAGGTTAGGGTTAGGTTAGGTTAAGTTAGGCTAGGGTTAGGGTTAGGGTTAGGGTAGGTTAGGTTAGGGTTAGGGATAGGTTAGGGTTAGGGTTAGGGTTGGGGTTGGGGTTAGGGTTAGGTTAGGTTAGGTTAGGTTAGGGTTAGGGTTAGGGTTAGGGTAGGGTAGGGTTAGGTTAGGTTAGGGTTAGGGTTAAGGTTAGGTTAGGTTAGGTTAGGTTAGGTTAGGGTTTAGGGTTAGGGTAGATGCACCGTGCACGGTACGAATCAACTTGCACAGCTTCTCCACCTCGCATGAATGTAGGCTGATTACTCGACTAAATGAATCCAGCCAGCCAGCCAGCGCGGCCGCTCTTGTCACCGCGATGCGATCCGATCCGTAAAGCACCACGCCCTGATCATGAACAACGCGGAGTGTTTCAGCACGCTATGCATAAAGATCGGCAGCTTGATGCCCCCCCCCCCCCCCCACCCCACACACACACACTAAAGAACTCACATCCATCCTCCCAATGAATGAATGCAAACAAAAGAGAACACGCTTTATCGACCGACATACATAACACTTGAGGAGTTGATTCCATCGTCCCAATCAATCATGTAATCGACGGTCCATCCATACATGTACATAACACTATGATCTTCCCCCGAAGAGAACATAATATGGTCGTTGTAGACGTATTTGGCCCAACTTGCAGTCCAGATGCAGCAACAACGACCATGCATTCTCTTCGGGGTGAAGAAGGTAACGAGTTCCTTCCATTGTCGAAATCAATCATGCAATCAACAGAAGCAGCAGGTTCATCGATGCAAGTCTCTGACTAAAGAAATATGTCAACTGAATGTGGCCCCARTTGCAATCACAAAACATTCAGGAGAGAGAGTCCCTACCGTCTTCTCGAGCAGCAGGTTCATCGATGCAAGCCTCTGACTAAAGAAATATATCGACTGAATGTGGCCCCACTTGCAATCACAAAACATTCAGGAGAGAGAGTCCCTACCGTCTTCCCGAGCAGCAGGTTCATCGAATGTAAGTCTGACAAAAGAAATGTGTGGACTGAATTTAGCCCCAATTGCAATCACAAAACATTCAGGAGAGTCCCTAACATCTTCCCCTGAACAAGATACAGTGATAATGACCGCAGTACAATCATTACAGTTGTATTCGAGGCAACTTTCAGTCTAGATACAGCCACAACAACCGTAACAGTTCTATTCAGGAAAAGGCCCCGGTCTTGTACACAGCTGTATTTGGGGCAACTTTCCATCTAGATACAGCGATAACAACTGTATGTTCTATTCGAGAGAAGCATCCATATCTCCACAGAATCCATCAATCACGCAAAAGAGCACATTAAGAGGTTCCATCGATGCCATTGAAACTATTTTTAGAACTGGTTTAGAAGACTACGGGGCACGCTTAACACATGGAAACTTCTGGATGTTATGATTCTGGTTGTTTGTTGTCTGATGACCAACACTCACTCACATAGACTTCCAGGTATGCCCATACATACACAGAAGGAAGGGGAGAGGATAGGAGTATCACACYGCATAGGGAGAGATAACACAGCGGAAGACTTGACCATGCGATATGACAGGGTACACTGAAAGTGCAATTCACTCCACTCAATCCTCACAACCAGTCATAAAGAAAAGTCGAGCAGATCACATCCAAGAAAGCAATGAAACGATGATAGTCCAAACCCAGTATCACACTGTTTATTAAACTCAGAGTCTCGAATTGTCAGGATAACCTCAGTACTACAGTGCGCTGCTCAGAAATGAGCAGCACTTCGCTCCCCAACCCTGATTAGCACCCGTAACACCCCTGAGCCCCTCAAACATCAAGCACCACCCAAATACAGCCTCCTAAGGGATGCGCCACCCTGGAACAGCCCTCTGAGGCCAAGCGCCACTCAGAGGATGAAGAAGAAGACCAGCGCCACAGTATGTGATGATGACGAAGTGTCGGAAGACTTCCCGGGTGGAAGTCTGCAGCAGCGCCACCAAACCCTGACAAGATGACCTCTAAGGGAGAAGCTGCAGCTATGGTTGCAGCATCACCACCCTGGAACCCCACTCCGGTGGAGGGTCCAGCAGGGCACCAACCTCTCTCGCCTCCAGCAGACCTCGATAACCCAGACCTCTGTCAGCCCCTGCGTGCTGGCAGAGTACAGCGCAGGTCCCAGCTATGGCCAGCGCTCCGAAGGTCTGGCTATGCTTGTCTCCTTCCACGTTGAGCCGTCACCACTTCCGGTTCACGCGTAGCGCAGCAGCGATGTACTCGGTACCAACTGCCAAAAGCCCTGAACCGATGTGCCCATTCTATCTATAGACTACAACTAGCCTAGACTCGACCTAGACCAGACTGACTGACTGACCGGTACCAATTCAGTTTGTGACCTGTACCAATTCAATTTGTGACCGGTACCAATTCAGTTTCGGCCTCTCAGCCTCTCCTAACCCGGCTATAGGCTATAGGACCGTCTACTAGCTTAGGCCTTTAGGGCCTGTCTGTCCTAGAGGTAGCCCAGGCCTGCTATTCGCAGTTAGGATAGTTGTGGGGAATTCTGTTAGTACGGGCCTATATTTTCCCGAATTTACCAATATGTAGCTCACGAATTTCCTTATAAGCAAGTCTCTCGGTTAGCCCTCAGCCAAACAAAATTAGGAATCTAACCCAAGACGCGACCCGACCGAGGCAAGCCCCAAGCTTCGCGCTCGGCCCAATGTACAGTCCACTGAGAATCTGCAGGGTTCATTACATACTTACCCCCCCGGGAAGAGCGGACCTCCGCGCCCATACTTCATTTCCTGGTAATGAACCAGCAGACGAAGTGGGTGTAGAGATAGAGCTCTTGCCTGAAGAGGAGAACCCGAAAGACTCGGGGGGGTAACCTATGCCCCTGGTCACTGCTGCAAACAGCAAGCTCAGGAGGAGGCACCCTCAAAGTGTCAGTTGGTCTCAACTTCATCAAGAAACCACGGTAGACCTAATCCTTGACTGTCGCGCAATCGACCACTTCTGAAAAGTTGAGGTTCCGTAGGAGACGCCCCATTGTTGCAATCCGGTCTCCTATACTCATGACCAGCACTGTAAACAGTGATGTCAGGAGAAGGAGAACTCAGAGTGTCAGCTGGTCTCGATTGCGTCAAATGACCACAGTAAAACTTGGCACCCGACTATAATGCAATCGACCATGCTGAAAAGTTGAGCTACCTAGACATTGAGCTATAGTCGTCGGTCCGGGTATTTACCCCTAATAGACATGGAACCAAGTGCAATCGATCAGTAGAGTGATATGGTGGAGCCCACAACTCTCAACTATAATTGTCATTCTAGACTGAAGGATTGCAATAAGAGATTGCGGGCAAAACAAGCAACCTCAATACGGTGGAGCATGAAGACATAAACACCCACGCTATAAGTGACAGTCATGCTATGACTCAACTTGTCTAACTGACAGGGAGTCAAGGGCAGGATGCTGAAAGCCTGGGGCAATGGTTCACACCACTCAGCGTCAAGACGAGGGAAACTTGCCCTATCAGCAACTAACACTAGTCAGGACGTTGAGTATGGCCAGAATTTGCATCAGCAAGTTCTGACAGCGCAGCACAAATACGCTTGTCCAGGGAAGTAGGAAACATCTCCTCAGAGAAGTTCGGTCACAAGTAAAAGGGGCTGCGACCCTTACTTGTGCCATCCCTAGGTTTGCTACAAATCAGTGTCCTCACACATTAAGGACCCTTACGCTGCAACTCCTAAGTGAACGAACTGGAATAACAGCCAGATTAGTCAAGAAGGTCCCCCGGTGAATAAACCATCCTACCAAAACTTTGAGAACGAAAAAGTGACCAGGTGAAGTCGATCAGAGGTATCAGCTATATCCAGTATACTGGGAGTTATCTACCGTCTTCACCCAAATACAAAGTACGGTCATTATCGCGCTGTATCTAGACTCAAACTTGCCCCAAATACCGCTATAATGACTGTACGTACGTTGTATCCGGGCAAAAAAAAAACGGTAGTGGAGGGGCTCGCTGACCTACACAGCACCGCAGGAGAAAGTTCTAAGCTGTTTAGTATGAAGGGCGAGCTCACACGGCAAGTTTCTCGACTGAATCTGACCGTAATTGCTGTCCAAATTAGTTCAGAAAAGTACAGGTGTGAAGAGTATCCTCTCTCTAAGTCTGGAGCAACCGGGTTGCAAAGGAGCCCCCCCCCCCACTGAACTCAAGAAGAAGACGAGACCAGCATCACTAAATGCGGCAAACGACCATTTCTCCAAAGCCGCAGCTGCGCAGTCCAAGCCTACATCCAAGCCAGTTTACTTGATCGGCAATCAATCAAAAAAAAAAAAACTACCTTTCTTTTTCTTCTTCTCCTTTCCGTTTTTCCCTTCTTTTCTTCTTCCTTCGACCAGGGCGACGCCCTTGAGATATCATCATCATCATCATCATCATCATCATCATCGAACTGACCGGCCCTATGTAATTCAGAATACTAGAATTCTAGTCTTTTACTCATCTGGTTGCTTTCACTGGAGTTCAAACTCAGCACCTGGTCTGCATTTCAACAGTTCTCTCTCTCTCTCTCTCTCTCTCTCTCTCTCTCTCTCTCTCTCTCTCTCTCTCTCTCTCTCACACACACACACACACACACACACACACA